TCTCTCTCTCTTCTCAGCGAAGATGGAAAAGGGAGAATAAGTCTGTCAGAGGAGGATGACAATAACGATAAGGGGATTTCCACACCGGTGCTGATTTTTGCCATGTCACCACCACTCCAACAGTCAACGGTAACGAAAATGAAGCGCTTCAACGACTGTCGTTTGTTCATCTTATCACGACGTGTCGTTGCTTACAAATAATAATACAAACAAATTTAATCCGTTGAAAATTGAGGTCCCTAGCCTTATCCGATATCAAGGAACGAAATTTTGAGGCCAACCTTACCTCATAGAAATTTTTTGCTCTTGTATTTTGAAAGCGAAAGCAGATTCAAACTTTTGTTTCCAATAATCAAATTCACTTCCCAATTATAAATTATAACAATTGGCCATTGATTATTTATTGGAGTTCTAAGATTTAAATACTGAGACGTTAATGGAAGCGTTTTTATATATTTAATTTTTGTGTGTATAACATCAGAAATGAGCTTTCACTATAATAACTTTGTGTATCAAAGACGAAAAAAAGAAAAAGAAAATTATGAGATCAGGTACAAACCAAGAAAAAATAAAGGAAAAAGCAGATGATCAGCTGCTAGATTACAAGATGGGGGAGAGAATTAGAAGAAGAGAAAAAATAATTCAGAAACTAGTATCTATTGTAAGCTTCCTCTTTGGTGGAGATTTTTCTATAACCTGCTTTTGCAAGTCCATGAATGTAGAACCCTTGTTAGCAAATAGTCTTCGGAGATTGATCACTGAAAGTTCATTAAAACTAGCAACTGCAAGATCCGCCTGCACCAGGTCATACCTGCATGTGCCACCATCAATCTCAATCAGGATATACAGTACAACGTGTTCGTACATAGTTAATGAGTACTTCAATGTATGTGTATTTGAATGTGTATCTGTAGGTGTATTCTATATTCATGGGACATCTAAACAGTGCTATCTAGGGTGAAGAGGATGCGAGTACATACGCAGGGTGGGCGCCGATCAATGCCACCGCCATCATTGTACAGTTGTGGGCAGCAGTTATACCTCTGGGCTCATCCTCAAACACTACACACTTCGATGGTTTTCGGTCCAGCTGCAAGCGGTATAATTGATTGGGTTAGAGAATGATCCCAAGAAAATTAATTGTATTATCGTATACAATAACATGTGAAGATACAGACTGATTCCAGACACACACAGTCTGACTTAAGTGGAGAGCTGACCTTTATGGTGACACTAGAAGTACATATTTATACACTAGTAATAGTAAGTTGCAGGAAATACCTTCATAGCTGCAGAAAGAAACCTATGAGCTATTGAATCCATTCCATCTTCCTCTGTCACAATTGCCTGTAACCCACAATGACGACAATCAGGTATGGTGTGTGATGTAAGTGGAATTAACAGAAATCCATCACCATGGGTTTATCATTCACATCTCTCAATGGGAAATTACAAACCACAAGTTCCGCTGGGGTTTGGTTATAAAGCACTCAACTCTGTTGTAATTTCCATTGGAAAGTTTTGTGTAATTCAAAAGTACACCAACCTGGAAATACTTCTTGAGTTCCATTCGTTCTAGGGCTTCTGTCAAGTTTATCCGATCAAGACTTGAAACTACAGCACAAGGGATACGAGCAGTGGATACAGCATCTAGCCATTCCTTGAGCCCCTCCACAGGTTTACTAAGCTGGAAAAGGAAAAAGGTACAAAACATCAGTAGTTGCATGTAAGAGACAAACCTTAAATAATTTATAAACAGCTTAACACTCACCCTGAGAAGATTATCATAATATAGCTGTGAAAACCTTAACGCCAATCTATCTAGTTCTCCTTCTGCTTCATCCCAGAGTAAAAGCTGAAAGTTTTTGGAGACTTATGAGGTGCATCCGATATGAGTATCCAGTGTGATGGTTCATAGGAAATAAACCATAAATTTTACTAGACTAGAAATAGAAAAATGCAACCAACCACCACAAGTTATAGATAAAGAAAGTTGAATTGCAGGAACAGTATTTAATCCCAAAATGCATTAATTGGTCATGATTAAAAATAATTTTTTCTTTTCTTCATGAGTTATGAAGAATAAGATCATAAAAGATGCAACAATGCATCAGAGAAAAAGAATTCAAAGAGATAAATTATTGACATAATAGCTAGACTACTTAACAGAGATACCTCAGGAGCAAGACATTCACATGGAATGTCTTAATCATATGGTTCCTGATCAATATTGCTTTTGCCAAGGATCATAACCTTCTCAAAGATGGAGTTACACTTCTTTAAATCTTGCCAAATTTAACATAATTTACTGGGAACCAAAACTTGCAGTCTAATGCTCCATTTTGTTTGTACAGAATTGCGTTATTAAAAGCAGCTCTAAAACCCCATTGTCTCTTAAATTCTCTATACTCAATAATTTTTTCTCTAGACAATCAGAGTTTGTAGAAATGTTACTGTCTCATAAGAGATGCATTTACTAGTCAAAACACTACATCTTATCTGACTATTTAGATAACCACAAATCCTTAAATGAACACTAATCCCAAACCTTATGCAACACATGATCAGCACCTGCATAAAGCATTCGTCCTTGCACATCCGCATCTTCAGGAATTTCCTTTCCTGACAAAGAATAAAAGATTTAGGAACAAAAGAAAGTATATTATCAGAAACAACTGCTAATGAAACTAAAGACAGTCAGGATAATCTCGAATATCTGAGCCTCTGGACTTCCCAAAAAGAAGCAAAAAAAAGAGTTTTAGAAGCACACAAAACAGCATGCAAAACCAGTTCAACATTTTATCCAACATTGAGAATGCACTGAAAGGCCTGTCATGGGCTATAAAAGGGAAGAAATGCTGCATACCCTCTTCTGAGGCAAGTTGTTTCCAAGAATTTAATTTCAATGTTCGAGTATCAGCCTGAAACACATAATATACACATTTAATAATTGCACATTTAAATCTTTTTCTTGATGATCTTGGCATATCATTTCTAACCACCAAAACTTCAAAACATAGAGCTAATAAGTGTTTTTTTTTTTTCCTTTCAAAGTATAACTAATGAGTGTTACAAAAACTTACCACAACATTGTCAAAAGAGAAAATAAGACCATACGCTTCATCAGGTTTCATGGCATATCGTATACGTTGAAGAAAACCTTCTTGGAGTCTGTCGTTCAAAAAATCCTACTCGAAATAAGAATTAACACTAGTAAGTTCTAGCCTATGCTCTTAGAGAGCCAGAAAGTATAACGAGTAAATAAATTTGACAGAACTTCATAAAAAACAATTTGGCTGATATACATATACCCCCATATCCTTACCACATCAACCTTGAGAGGCCCATCTGGTCTAAAAGTCTCAAAACCTTCTCCATATTCAGCTCCAATTGCCTGAAACGATAAAAAAGAGAAGGAAAAACATTAAGCTAATCAAAATCACCTATCCTTTTCTTCTTCTTTTTTGTCTGAAGAACAAGAACAAAACCCAGAAACTCTGGTTCACCAATATTTTCCACACACACACAAAAACAAAAAGAAGCAAACTTACAATTAAAAACCGAAACTTTTCAAGCTCTGCTTTCACAACTTACACAAATACCCAATAAATAAAGAAAACATTAGAAGGGGAGCAATCAGTACCTCTTGCATGAAAAGCTTGTTGGGTGTGACGGGAAACCCATTAACAGAGCCGTTTTCGTTGAACCCACAAGCACTCCTTACCACCCGGGCATGCTTAGCCAGGTTCAAACGCTTCAGTGTCTGTGAATTAGAAGCAATCAACAGCCAAATTAAAACTCGAAAATTACAGAAGATAGAGAAAGGCATACCAAGAGTCTGAGCTTGGAAGGGAACGATGAGTGTGGATGAAGAGATGGGGATCGCCCGAGAAGAAGCAAAGACGAGCTTCTGAAATTGCTGCAAGTACAGTCCATCAGAGATGAATACAGAGCCTCCAAGCCCTGAGAGAGAAGTTGCTTTACTTCGAATTTGTTTATTTGCTATTTCGTTTTTTATTTTATTTTATTTTTTATTATATAATTATTTTCTCTTCTTCTTCTTTTTTGGAGTTAAATTTTGTAAAAATCTTTTGTTGATGGGATGCTCGTTTGAGATTGCTATGAAGTCCACGTGACCGTACGTTTTACCTTTCTCAGTGCAAATCACGTGCTATCAGTATCAGAGAGAGAGGTCATATCTGTTTTTTCTTCCTAATTTTTTTTTTTTTTTTTTTCAGATAAGTGGCCGCCCTCATCTTATTTTACAATAAATATTTCTTATTTACTTCGCACCAAAAGAGAAAACCTCCTTCAATAACAATAAAAAAGATAAGTGATAAGTAAACTTACCAATATTTCGCACCAATATTTTCCTTCAACATTTTTTTTGTTTTCTTCTCTTTTATCCTTGATTTTTCAAAGTTTTTCTATGGCATGGATTATTTAACTGTGCAGGTCTTTGCAAAATTGCTAAAATGTTATGTGACGAAACTATGCCTCTGTTTTAACTTGCGGACCAATGGCCTTAAGTTCGAAACTCCACGACATCAGCGTGTGAGAAAAACCTCATCTCTCTTCCTAACATTGACGACAAAAAAAGGGGAAAAAATGGAAGTACTTGGAATGAAATTGTAGTAACCTATTGAAAATATTAGGATGTTTATAGAATTCCAACAATTTTCATGAGTCTTATATAAACCTCACAATACTATAGATGAAAGAGTTTTGGAAAAAATAAATGAATTTTAAAGCATTTTCCAAAGTATAAAAGAGAGTTGGATTTAATGCATGATGCCCCTTTGGGTGACTGAGGTTAAACATTTACCATATTTCCAAGTAGGAGAAGAGTAGGAGGCCTATAACCAAGAAGGCTTGGGAGTGGAGTTAGTTGGATATTAGGTCAATCATACATATAATTTAACCCCCTTTTTCCCTTATATAATTATATTACACATGATTTGTAATTAGCAAATAATGGTAATTAGCAAACACATGAAACCAGTAGCAAATTAACATGTACTTAATACAATCATAGCCGATGGGTTTGACAGAAAGACTTGAAGCTCTTTCTTCTGGAACTGCTAGGTGAGACATTTTACAAAGGACAATATAAACAAAATATCTACTTCTCAAGTATCTCAATCTCACATCAAAAACTGAAACTTTTTCAACCCTTTTTGTTTGAATCCACTACTACTACTATACAATAGCCAAAATGACTTGCCTTTGAGAAAACAGGTAATGGGAAAATAATCTGAGGATGTAGATTTTCCACCATTGCCAATTGGATGCTGGCATCAGCCCAAAATGATCAGCAAAAGAAAAAGAAACCTTAAGGCGATTTCTCAAACTTCAGAGTCTTCAAAAATCATACTCCATTTGCCTGAGGGAAACTCATACCCTATTGGCCTGTATCATGAGGGGATGAAGTTTAGGGAATTAGCAAGACAATGCAGACTAAGGAAAGAGAGGAATGCAATTTTAGACACAAGCGTACCGAGCGTAGGTCTGCCAGGATCCAGCTCTACCATAGTTGTCCCAAAGCTCATCAGTGCCATCAGAATTCTCATAGTCTCCATAAAACTGTGATTGAACCACATTATATAAACAAACACAAGTTCATGAGCAGACGGGTAGGAAACAATCGGATCCAGAACCAGATAGATACAAAACCAACCACTAAACCACAATGTATTCTGAGCCTTAAAGCAAACATACCTCACCAGCCTTCCCATTGTTCCCGGCCATCGCTGAATCTGCCTCATCATCTACCTGCAACCGATGACCTTCTCATTAATTGAATTACTGGAGGAGACTAGGATTAATTATAAGGTCATTAATCATTCTGGAGTATATGGGAAAAAGCAGACTAGGATTTATACACTATAGAGAGCAGACAGAGGATCTAGATGGAAAGTCACATTCAAATAATACACTACTAGAAAAGAGAAGAAAGCTTTTCTTTCTTATTACTACCTTGATATCATTAGTTCAGAACAAAAGCTTAAGCATACGCATTTATGCATGCTATCAACAAAATACATAACAGTAGATTAACAGGTATAAAACATAATGGTCATCATGACCTACAATTGAAATTGGAAACGTTATGAGCACCAAAGGGCATCACAAATGGGCAATTACAGATCATAAAAACAATGGAATTGAAGAAAGAACGAGGAAATTTTATCGCCTTGGGATAGATGGAGAAACAGTTGGAAACTTTTTTTCCAACTTTAGCTTTACCTTTAGCTTATCATCTGCTTCTTCAAGCAAAGCTTTCTCATAAGCCTTGTCAACCTTTTCAGCTTCTGCAACATATGGTTGCCTCTCCTACCAAAGCAAAAAGTCCAAAAGAAATGTGATAAAAACTCATGGATTCGAAAATTTAACAACTGGGTAGGGCTTATAAAGATAATAGATTCACTCTTTACCTTCTCGGACATGTTCTTCCATGCCTCAAACCCTTCTCGGTTAATGGCAACCCAATTTCCAGCCTTGCTGGTCTTGGTAAACTCTTTCCTGATAAACCCACAGAATTAAATTAAACTGAGACTAAGAACAAGTAATAGAAGCAATAAAGTAAGTAACTTTATATCTAAAAACTTACATGAAGAAATGAAAAGGTGACATGACTATGAGTTGGTCATAAAAGCTCTGTTTCTGAACATCTAGGCATACGCCTTTGAACCTCTTCACCTTCGGATTGAGATCACACTCGTGCATGCCAGCCAAAGCAATGGGCACCGAAGCCCCACAGGTGTTGCTACAAACATATCAGAAGAAGCCCAAAATGTCATCCAAACTTAGAAGAGAATTAAATTAAACCCAAAAAAGAAAGGAAAAAAAAAGTAGAGAAAGAACATAATGGATTATATGCCATACCACTTTTGAAAAGCACTTCCATCTGGAGCACGAGGGATTCCGTGAACCCTCTTCCGGGTCCTTCTCAGATTCGCCATTGATGCACCACTATGCTCTGCAACTCTGCAACTTTTTTTTTTTTCAACTTTTTTTTTCAGGGAAGATTAAATTTGCATTTATTTTATAGGAATTCCGTAAATTAGTGGAAGACGAGCAAACTGGCGCACTTCCAGTTTTCGATTTACAGCTCATCTAACTAAGATACGCTGCTAGTTAAGTGCGCATACACAATGTATTTTGTGGGCCAACCCACTTGTAATTTTTCGCCACTATGCCGACGTGGTCTGGTCCGTACGGCACAAGCCGTGCACGGTAGCTTAGTACAATTTGGGTTGCTAACTTGCACGCACACGTTTTGGGCGGGACGGGACGTTGCTGTAAAATTGAAAAGGGTACGCGAAAAGAAGAGTAAAAAGTGAAAAACCGAAAACCGCAATTTCCCGCGGTAACTCCGAATCCGCGCAAAAGTGGAAATGGCGGCATGGCGCACAACGATTTTTAATGAGAATAGTTAGTGACTAGTGAAAGCACAAAGCTTTTTAAAAAATTTAAGAACGAACACTATTTGGCTACATATATACTAGAGTGATTCATTAAAATATAACAAAATTCTGCATACGTGTCAAATTATAATTTATGTTTAAAATCTTTTTCATATGTAAGGAGTCAAATATGTTTTAAGAGATATGTTACGAATGTGTTGTTTACTTTATCTTCATACTTTAAAATAAGTATATACGTCGTACGGTACGAGATAATCATACAAGTCAAATAGACGAAATAAACCCTCTATATTAATTTAGAATGGTAACATGGGTTTGAGCCAGGGAAACTATTTAACAATGTCATAATGTTTGGTCATTTGTGAATGATAGAGGGCACACCTATAACTAAAGATTGAAGAGATAATAGCAATTCTCCATGTGAGCCTTCCTCAAGTACAAGATAAGAAATATAATTGCAGCTGCTCAAACCACAAACAGTACTCTGATCTTAGTAAAAATTTCATTCCAAATCCATCTCATAATTAAAGTAACAAATCCCAACCCTCACTGCATAGTACAGATTAATAAATCACATATACAGACAGACAGACAGACAGACATTAAAACCACACCTTCAATACACTAACATAAGCAGAAGCATAACTAAATAAACAAGGAAACTGAATTTGAAACTGTTGGTGCTCAAGGAGTTGCTGTTAATCAATCTAATGTGTCACATTGCGTTCAAAGTTTGCGTCTTTTTCTTACTTGGCTTCGACATGGGAAGTGATATGTGGATGAACCCGAACTTCTTCCTCTGTGTCAAAAACGGCTTTTGATCATTTCCATCTTTCTCAACTTTTGCAGGAAATGTTAAATCCTCCCTCAGAGCATGAAGCATTTCGCTCAAAGCCACTCGGTGCATTTCGGGGTGGCCACGGTCCATTTCCTTTTTCTCCACAAAATCTTCAGGCAGAACTTGCTTCCTGCTAAGAACATCTCGCATTGAAACTGTTGACCTTAGATGAGGCTTTGGACCCTCATTTACTATGACTGACTTGTTCATCTCATTCATTGGAGAGTTCCGATTATAATCTGGTGATTGAAAATTGTTTAGGTTGGTGGTGTTATAAGCAGCAGCCTGTTCCTTGTGGTCATGCTCAGGTCCCCAGCTCTGGAGAGCCTCTTGAGCAGCGAGTTGCTTTCTATTCGCAATTTCCACTTTGTTTAGAGCCTCCTCCAAGAATTGTTTACTGTGTTTAACTTCTTCTGTTGCTTCTTTCAGCTTCCTTAGTATGGCCAGTTTAGAAGTATGAGCTTCATCAATTTGGCGCATGGCATCTACTAGCTTCTTCTTGAACCAGCCCTCAGCTTCTTGAGCTTTCAAGTTTAGAGGAGATTTCATTTGAGAACTAACACTCATTTTCTCAGGCTCTGGAAGGACATACCCTGATGAGCCCCCAGAGCTTGTTAGAGACTTGATTTCAGCAAGAGCGACAGCTTCTGCTGCCCTTGCTGCTTCTTCCATCTTTTTAGCTGCAACCCACCTCATTTCAGCAGTCTTCATAATGCTCTTGGCTTGTTCATTCCTTGACATTGCCCCTGATGCTTCGAAGTTCGCAGCTTCTGTCATTCTCTTAAATTGCATATGCTCCCTTGAAACACATGCTGAATTCTCAAAGCTAATTTTAGCATTGGTTTCTGCATCATCAGCCATCTGTATCTTCACTTTTATGTTCTTCATCTCCTCCTCCAGCGACGACACCCCTGCAAACTGCGAAGTCAGCTTCTCGCGGGTCTTTTCAAGCAAGTTCTTCTCGTTCTGCATTTTCTTATTCAAAGTTTCAACAGAAGATTGAATCACCCCAAGATCATTGATGGTTTTACCCAGGTTCAGTTTCGCTTGTTTCAACTCCGTCAAGATCAGATCAGGAGAAGTGTGGTAGGGACTTGAATTCCCCATCATGTGCTCCTGGTTGCTGGCAACATTTCTATGATTCTCCTTGTTCATTTCCTTGACAGCAGGGGATGATGAAAAGTGTTCTTCTGAATGAAAATCTGGTGGCGAGACTACCGTCAAGCATTTCAAGGCTTCTTTCTGAAGCTGCCGCTTTAGCTCTTCGACAATCCTTTTAGTTGTTGCCAGTTCTTCTAGCACGTCAAGTGTCTCTAGCTCTTTCACAATCAGATCCTTCTCCAACTCTGCTGCCTGCTCCTCCACCTTCTTCAAGTCAAACTCTTCAACCCCATTCTGCTTAATAATTCAATAACTAAACATAAACTATCTAGTAGCAGAAATATCACAATTAAATTCGACATAAAGAAATGTTTTCACAATATATACATCTCATGGTCTATCCATAATAACCTGTTCCACAAGTTGCAAAAATGCATATATATTGAGTTCGAACTCCCTCCCCGTACATTTACGTGACATTACAATAGCTTTGAATATCAAATTTGTTGCATAAAATTTACAGGTAACTAGTATGCATATTTCCCAAGCCAAATTCCTAAGTGACCAAATATTAAACTAGCTTTTGAATTTTTACTCACAACGAAACAAAATTGGTCAAAGAGTCAGAGTTTAACCCCACATAACAAGATAGTACTAGTATTTGAATTTCACTGTACTTACATAGTTTTCTCCGAGTTTGTAGAATGGTATCCAAGACCCGCGGCCACCAAAACGGGTCACAGCCTCTTCGACCGACCCGAAAGGCGGGGAAGTATCAATCTCCGCCCTCAAGCCCACCCTCCTTATCCCGGGCGGACTCGGGGACATAGAAGCTCCGTGCCCATGACCCGAACCCGTGCTAAAGCGGAAGTCCGACCCGGTCTCGGACCTCATTTCCTTGATGCCAGGTGTCCCCGGAACCGGTTCGACGGCCATTAAGCAAGAATCTTTCACGGCTAAAAGACGAAGAAGAAGAAGCCTCTGAAATGGAAGTTTGGGACAAACCCATCATGGAAAAACCAAACATCCTTCGTCTGGTTTTATGTGGTACCGACTACCGAGGATGATGGGAGTGTGATGATGATGATGATGCTGCTGGTGGGGGACCGAGTCGTGACTCGGTCGGTACAGCCGGGTCCACTCGGCGAGCAAGGGTGCAGTGGAAAGAAAAGCGCTTTTTGGTTTTGGTTTTCAGTGCGGGTGGAGGACCTGAAGAGATGGGGATTCTCTCGTTCATGACGTGGCGGAGCGGGAATGGCGAGAGGGAAAGTCAGGTGATTGTCTTTTGACTTTTGATGTGTTTCAGCCAATGAGGGCTCGGTGCTACAGTTGATCTGTGGGTGCGAGGTAGGGGATCTGTTGGTTGACTAGTCTCTTCTGTGCTTTTGATTTGATTCTGAGCGTGAATTGCGGTCTTTGGGAAAGTCATCGAGTCCCAGTTGCGGTTATGATTGACTTTCTAAAGGCCATGTTTGGTTGGTAAACTTTATGTTATTTTGATTTTCACTTTTTCTTTTATTTCTGCAGATTAGATCAAAGTATTTTTATTTTTTATTCTTTATTTTTCCTTTTGTGGTAAAGTAAAAGTGATTAAAGTGAACAAAAATCACTTATACACGCCTTCACTTTATTTTCTTTCCAAATTTAAAGAAGGATAGAGCACATGGCACATTATCATAACAATCAATCATGTCTTGTAATATTTTGTAAAAAAATAAAGAAGAAAAAAATGTAAATAATGTTATGCATGGTAAACCCTCAAAAGAAGTTGTTTGGACTTAAAGCCCACATTAGATTGGTTAGCCCATAGAAATAAGGATCATAAGCCCATGTTATTAGGTTGGACTAGGTATCAAATATTCACAGCTCAAAAGCGACTGGCTCATGGGTGAATTAAAGAGTTAAACAGAAAAAGCCCACAGCTCAAAAGCGACTGGCTAAGTAAGTAGCTTTGTAATAAATTTAGAAGACCAAAAGAAGTGATAAACGTTTACGTGCGTCAACAACCACACAATATCATCAAACACATGCAAACGTCTAATATCATCATAATAACAGCAACTCTAGATAGATGGCACATCAACTAATATTACTCTATTAATTATGATTCGATCTCTTGGCCACCTATTTTGCGTCTGTGAGAATTTGTATTCTTAAAAAGTTTTTTTTTAAATTTTATAATTTTTATAAAAGAAGATTAAACATTGTTTTTAAATATATATATATATATATATATATAGTTTTTACAATACTATTCTAAATAAATATTTGTACTTAGTATATATATATATGTTCAACTATAAATTATATATTTTATTTGTTTTTCTTTAAAATGGGTACCCTTAGATATTTTGGGTATTTAATGGTATATATTTAGAATAATATTCAATTGTGATATTTATCTTCTATGTGTTAAGAAGCTACGATAGTTTTAATTCATGAACTTATGAGAGTTGGTTGGGCTTAGGAAACTCAAACACTTCATCTCTTGCATGCAACCGCTTGACTTTGATTGTTGTATAGATGGCAACTTTACTTTTCCTTGCCTACTAAGCTAATCAACGTGTGGAAGAACACTTGCTTGCAACACACTAAGGCCTACAAGTGTATTGTGACTATAATATTACTATGAGTTGTTGTAATTGTAGGAATAGTTATCCTTACTTGATGAAATC